ACTGATACTCAACACAACCAATACATCTCAATTACAAAAGAAAAAAATGAAAAGCATACAAACTGAAAAAGAAGAGGACTAATTGCTCTTATTTGTGATGACCTAATTGTACGCATAGATACATGTAAGGAGTCTGCAAAAGAACTAATAGTACTAAAAAGTAAATACAGCAAGGTCACAGACATAAATCATCAGTGGAGTTTGTTTATTCTAGCACTGAACAAATAGAAAACAACCTAAAAAATGCATAGTAGCTTCAGAAACATAAAATGCTAATTTGACTAAAGACTTGTCTAAGAATTGTACAGTAATATCTATACAAAGTTGGCGAGAAAATATTGAAAGACCTAAACAAATAACAAGATACGCTATGCTTATAGATTTAAAAACTCTACTGTCTGTTATGTCCAAATGAATGGATTGAATATAATAATAAAAAATACGATCAAGATTTTTTTCTAGTAGAAAAAGAGTAATTATTTAGAAAAAATTTATTTATATATTTATTATTATTACTATTATTTTTGAGAGGTTTTTGCTATAGGGCGCATGTGCTCGCCAGACAGACAGAGAGAGACAGAGAGACAGAAAGCGAGAAATCACCCGCAGGGGGGATGGCCACCCCGCAATCCCTTCTTCATTCTCCTCTCAGGATCTTGGGCACGCACGCACACACACCTGGCATGAGTTTTAAGCCACCGGGTCTGGGACTCGAACTGCGGCTGACTACATGGAAGTCTGGTGACATAGCCCTTATGCTAACTTCTGGTCCCTTTTTATTCATACATCAAATTGCTATACATCATTTAGATTGTGAAAAGACTTAACCCAGAATGATATACACCTCTATTTTTTAACAGTAATTTATAAGTTTATACTAAAACTAATATGCAAATGTAAAAGTCCTAGGTAAATAACCTAATCTTGAAAAAGAATAAGAAAAGTTAGAGGACAGGTATTACCTGATTTTTTTTTTTTTTGAGAGGTTTTCTTGGTATAGAGCATGTGCGCTCACCAGAAAGACAGAGAGAAACAGAGACACAGAAAGCGAGAAATCACCCCCTGGGGGGGGATGGCCACACCACAACCCCTTCTCTTCCATTCTCCTCTATCTTGGGCACGCACGCACACGCGTGTGGATGACTTTAAGCCATGGGGTCCAGACTCGAACTGAGGCCAACTACATGGGAGTCTAGAGATGTCGCTATTACGCTATCTGCTGGACACAAGTAAACCTTTTTTTAAATGTAATGGGCTAGATAATGAATGCTTTGGTCTGTTTGGTCTTTTTTTTTTAGGCCGGCAAGCTTTCAGTTTTTATTAAATCCTAGTAACAATCTGATTTTATAGACATCGTCCCATGGTGAACATGTTTAAATAAGTGAAAGCAAACCAGTTATCCAAGTCAATATTTTCTGCAGACTAAGCAATAATGACTACACAGAACACTATGGGTCATAACATACACTTGCTCAGTTTTCTTATAATCCATGTTATTTATCAAACTATACCTGCTAATGTTTAAATACAGTAGACTAAGTGACTGTAGTTCTCACATAATACTTTACTCAGAGCACCGTACTGAGTTAACATCGACAGTGTCACTGACTTTCCAAATTAGCATAATTATGTTCAAGGAACAAACTAAAAATAAAACGAAAACTGAACACAGAAAAAATGAAGTTATTAAAGGAAAATGAAGAAAAGAAAGGAAAGTGAAATATCATTGGGGTGGTAAAGTTGAACAAGTCTAAACATTTGGAAGAAATAGATCAAGGTTGGATTTCACAAATTAAGTTTATTAGCTCAGTGCAATGAAAATCTTTTTTTTAATGTAAAGGCTGAGCTGAAACTAAAAGTTCTATTAAACTG